TCCACGAGCGCTGGTCAAGGTCGTCCAGTTCGGAGCGGGGACCAGCGCCCCATGTCCGCCCACCACCACCCTCCGGGCCACAGAGCCGCTCGCTGCAGCCCCCACGCCCGTCTCCCTCGGCCTCCGTTTGTCTTCGTGTCTCTCTGTCTCCGTCACACACCCCAGCGCACACGCGCACAGACGCGCACACACGCACGCACACAGCGCCTGCACCTCCCGTCCGGCCTGGGGTCAGAGGCGGGGCCGGAGCAGGGCTGGCCGGCTCTGGGGAGGCGCGGGGGTGAGGGGCTCGGAAGGCCTGCTGTCCGGCCCCCACGTCTGCGCGCGGCCCGCACGGCCCTGGCCAAGGCTCAGAGAGGCCCAGCGATGCCCGCCCTGCGGCCACAGCCCCAAAGGCCCCACCCGGCTCCCGCCCGGTCCCACGCCTCTAACCCCACGCGGTGCCCGGTCCCCGCCCTGCGGCCTGCCTCGCCGCTCCTCGTGCTGGGCAGGTGACCCGGGGGACGGGCGTCTCCTGCGGCCTCGACTCACGTCAGCGCATCTTCCTCTTTCACGGCCCGGCCCTCTTCCCGGTCTCCGGTCTGCAAACGTGGCAGCTCAGAGGACTGGTCCCGCGGTCGACTCTGCCCCACGCGGCTGCCACGGGCTGCAGGGCCGTCCCACGTGCAGCTCCTGCCCGTGGCTCAATGGTCTCCTTAGAGCCAAGGGCTTCGGATGCGGACAGCCTCTCGCTGGCCTGCCAGCTCCTGCCCAGTGCAGCTGCGCTGGATCGGGTGACGCCATTCCAAATGTGCATCATCTCGTGGTCACCGCCCGTGACGGGCGAGGAGGTGGCGCCGGGCGCACATCGGCACTGCCGCTGCCCGACGCCCACACTGAAGGAGCCGGCGGCCGATGAGCCCCCTTGTCACGCGGGCCAGACCGAGGAGCGCAGTGTCCTTCCTGGCAAGGGTCCCTCGTCACAGGAGGCCCGTCCTTCCAGCAGGTGCCACCTCCCCAGATGGGCAGAGCCCGGCACAGCGAAGCCGCTGCTGTCACAGCCGACCCGCCTCTGTGCAGGCCACACGGCCGGTGCCGGGGCCATGTCCCCGCCCAGATCCCACCACCCGTCCTGCGAAGACAGAGCGTCCGATGAGGCAGTGGAGACGTGGGTGCCAGTCAGGCCCCGCCCTTCCCGCTCGCCGTGGCTCGGACACGGGCGGCCTCTCCCTCGGCGTGGGGCCCGTGCGCCCCTCACGCTTGTCCCTTAAAGACTCCTTCCTAGGGGAGTTCTCGGCGTGTCAAAGGCATAAACGGGCACGTGGCACATGAAATCGGGTCCCACGCAGCCTTCCCTTGGCCCTTGCCCTTGACAAGCCGTCACGAAACCTCGGCGCGCCCGCTGGCAGGGCAGCGTTTGGGGGGCGAGGGTCCAGCCGGGCTGTGCACGCGGAGCGAGCGCTGAGGACACAGCCCGGTGAGCAGCGTCCTTTGTCCTAAAGTGAGTGTCGGGTTCCCTGACCCCTGCGGCCTTCACTGTGTCCCACGTGTCTGTCACGTGCTGGGCACCGAAAGTGGAAACCGGCCGTGTGGGGTTCGGAGCCGCCACGCTTACGACGAACCTCCAGGCACAAAGCCGCCAGGAGGGCTTCTCTCCGTCAAAGCCCCTAACTCGGGGACAGCTGGCACAACTCGCCACTGTCCGTGGGTCCTCGGGCACACTCGGACGCGCCAGGAGCCTCGGCGCAGCATCCAGGGCGGGCGTGTGGGGGGGGCCCTGCCACCTGCGGACAGAGGTCGCGTTGCTCTCCGTGTGCTGAGCCCTGGCTCGTAGGGGTGCACGGTGCCGACGTCATTCCCGCCTGACGGTCCGGGCGGTTTTCCCCGTGCGCGTGCGCCCCTCCGTCCCGTGCACACGCCCCACCCGCGCGCACGCGTGTCCGCGAGCATGCGCCTGCACGCACCTCTGAGGCCGGGACGTGTTGCGGGCTGGACAATCGGCTGGTTTCCAAAGCAGCGGTCACTCCGCCTTCTACACTTCTGGGGACAGGAAGCCCCCGTGGCCGTCACCGTGACCCTTGGTGGCAAGTCTGCCCTCCGTGGGCGCGGCAGCATCGGAGGCAGAGGGCAGGGCGCGTGCCCCGCCAGCCGTTCCCCTGAGCACAGTTTCCGTGGGGACATGCGTGACGTGGCCACGCGAGAAGCTAGGGCATCGGCGTGCTGCCCTCTCCACGTGGCTGGCCGCCTGTCGTCCTCTGCAGGGTGACACGGCGCGGCTCAGGGCGCGGGTGGAGGGTCAACGCCCCGCTCACGGCTCCCTCTCTCGTCCCCAGGAGCAGTTCGAGTTCGCGCTGACGGCGGTGGCTGAGGAGGTGAACGCCATCCTGCAGGCCCTGCCCCAGTGAGCCCGGCGGCCGAGGACGCTGCTGGGGCCACCCCCTCGCCGTGTCCCCTGGCGCATCCGCCTGGCCGTGGGGCCCTCGCTCCCGCGGTCGCCGTGGATCAGCAGTTACGATGTGTGTTTTGTTCGACCCAGTGGTAGCAAGGTCTGTGGACACCCCGAGTCCGGGCTCCTCCCCGTCACGTTCCTGACAGCAAAGACGCGTTTTCCCTCAGCGCCCGCCACGCTGTGCTGCCCCGGCGTGTTCATGACCCGCGCCTCCCCCGGGCAGCAGCCAGCGCGGCCCTCGCCGGGACACGGGCGTGCTCGGGAGTTTGGACAGAGCTGCTGATATTGTGCAGCTTTGGGAAGGGAGACTGTCACCGCAGCATCCCCACTCGTCCCTACTCGGGCTGCCCCCCCCCAGCACAGTGGGGAGCCCATCTCAACCGGCCACCCCGGGCGACGTCACCTCGGCAGGCTGCAGGCGAGCCCCATCCTCAAGTTGGTTTCTTAACTGTAAAAGCAGATTCGCACGTTGCAGGAAGAGATGAGGGCTTTCCCACGGGGTAACCAAAATCGGGGGAACCCGTCGGGCCCCCCGTCCCTCTCGGGGACATCTGGGCCCACCGGCACGCGGAGGCACCACAGGTGCCGTCACCCCATTGCTGGGAAAGGGAGCGCAGGGAGGCCCCGTCTTTCATCTCCGTGGGACCACAGCAGCTGAGATGAAGTGGGGACACAGTGAGGGCCCCTCCCAGGGCGTCCGCCCCCGGGCCCGGGTGGGCACTGGTCTGGCGTCACACGGACACAGAAGCTGGAGGAGCTGGATTTGCCAAAACGACACGGGCGTCAGGTGCGCCCCTCCCCCGGACGCAGAGAATCCCCGCCTCAGACGGCAGGGGACAAAGGACATCTCGGTACCTTTTCCGTCCTGCTGTATTGCACACCATTCTTTCCCTCTTAAATAACTGTCACATCTCAAAACCCAGTAGCATAGGGAACGTGGCCGGCGGAACGGGAGAAAGACACCAAATGCTGCGTCTTTAAACGGAGCCGCCACGTGTGTCTGCTTCGATGTCGCTAGTTCCTCCCAAAGTTGTTTCTCTTTATCTGTAACCGAAATAATCAATAGAGACGAATTTACCTGCGTGTAGGAAGCCTATACCTACGTGTAACTTCCAGCTTCTTACGTTTCCAAAGAAGTGCTCCAGCCTGAGACGCATAAATACACGTAATTGTGCTGATTAAACTTCCGAGTCCACGTTCGACTGCTCTTTACTCGGGGACGAGAGTACTTTTCCCGCGCGTCCTCCGGTCCCCGAGGGGTGGGCCGAGGCGGGGAGCAGCGTGAGCACCTCCCGAGTCTGCCTGCGTGGGTGACGAGGGTGACTGCGTCCCGCCCCCACCTCGGTCACAGACGAGGACACCTGCCACCACCTGGGGGAGCGGGCCGTGCAGTGACAGGCCTGCACTCCACAGAACACGCCGCGGACATTCCAAACCCTGACCGCGGCCTGGGTGCGAGGCGGTCGCCCCACGCTGAGGGCCAGCGGGTCGGCCCGTCACACAGACGGTTTCTGAGTGGTGCTCGCCGACGTGCTTCTGCCCCCGACACGGTCACGTCACTTGTCGGCCCCTCGGCCTGTCCCGCCCACGAGCACATGTCATGCACCCCACAGAACACGCCGCGGACATTCCAAACCCTGACCGCGGCCTGGGTGCGAGGCGGTCGCCCCACGCTGAGGGCCAGCGGGTCGGCCCGTCACACAGACGGTTTCTGAGTGGTGCTCGCCGACGTGCTTCTGCCCCCGACACGGTCACGTCACTTGTCAGCCCCTCGGCCTGTCCCGCCCATGAGCACATGTCTTCACGGTGAAGCTTCTCAGGGGAGTGAGTGTGTGGGGCGCTGGTCAGTGTGCCGTGACGCGCGGCACAGAGCCACACCTAGGGAAGGGTGGGACGAAGGGGCTCAGGGTCCTGGGGCAGATGGCCGACACTGAGCCCCACTGGGGCCAGGTCCAGGCACGTCCACTCAGCGGCCACACGTGGCCCCGGGCAGGGTGTGCTGGGCCGTGCGTAACAGCCAGCTCGGGGAAAGCAGACGGGTGGGGACGCGGTAGTGACCGATGGTCCCTTATGTCAAGGCCGCGACCCCCTGAGGGCGTGTGTTCCATGCAGGATCAAAACCCCGTCACCTCCCAGGGCCGGCCCGAAGGCCCCCTCCTAACCTGATGAGCGAGGCGTGACGGGTTCTGGTGACGTCCACAGGCACATCCGGGCCGTCCCTCTGTGGGACGGTGGCCTCGCCGCCCGCTCCCAGATCCCACTGCACCCGAGCTTCTGGGCGTGATGAAGAATTAGGTTCAGCAAACTAGGGAAGGACAGGGCGTTCGGAAGCGACGCTTGGAGTGACCGATGCTGCTAACAAGCCCTGGGCTGGCGAGTCCGGCCCCGCCCCCCGCCCGCCCCCAACACACGCCCCAAGCCGGCCTCTGCCACCCGCTCTCCGGTGGCAGGCACGCGGGCACCGAGCTCCGTGTGAGCATGATGACAACGGACACGAGCATCAGGCCTGCCGGCCACGAACGGGGAGCCTCCTCCCTCCCCACCCCACAAAACACGGCCCTGAACCCAAGAAGGACGAGAGCCCCCGATGCTGACGCGGGGGAAGCCCAGGCCCTCGGGGCTGCCCCGCCCCACCCACCCGTCTGGGGACCCCTCCTTTCCCCTTATGCCCCGCAGGGTGGCGGGCCCGGGGGTGGCGGGAAGCTCCCCATCGGGTTGACGTGAGGCATCGGCCCCCCTGCCCACGACAGCTGGCCGTGCCCCCGAGCCCCCGTCAGGCCCCGGGGCGTGTGACGACCGGGGCTGCTGTCACACAGGTTCTCATCAAGACGCAGCACGTCTTGCCCAAGCGGCAAGTGGGGTTCACTGCAGTTCGGTGTCACGTCTGTGCCTTCTCGGAGCTGCACCGGGTTTAGCGAGAAGCCGGGTCAGGGGATAAACAGCCTCTGCTGTTTGGAAAGTTCTAGAGCTCAGCCAGAAGCGTCCCAGCAGAAGACAGAGTCCAGCAGAGGGGGTGCCCTGGTTCCCTCCCCCCCTGGACGGGCCGCACATGACCCATGCCAACTCCTCCTTGGCTGAGGGCCCCCCAGGCCGAGTCTGGAATGGGTCTCCAAAGCACTGGAGCCATGGGCGACGCAGCTTCTGACCCCAAGGCACCTTCCAGGACCCTCCGCCCCGGGGCCAGAAACCCCGTCCCCGCCCCGCCTGTGCAGCCCGCCTGTGCGGCCTGGCCCTGAAGCATGAGGGCCGGCACGCGGGGAAAAGAAGGGCTTGGGCCAGAGGCTACAGGACGGGCGGGCAATGTAAGGCCCTGGCCTGAGGGGCGAGAGGGTCGGAGGGGCCTGGCCAGCTTGGAGGTCGGACAGGTCATTATCCCTCGATCAGTAAATAAGCAAGAGGCATCTGGGAGCACGAGGGAAGTCACACTTCGGTCCCCGTGAAAGTCCCTGCTCATCGTGACAGTCACGCTGGGTCATTAGCACACGTCAGGGAGGCTGACACTCGGCACACTCCACCCCTAGATGGTCGGGGACACTTCTGGCGTTCCGCTCATCATTCTCACCAGCACTGACCCCGCCGACCCGAAGCCTCGCGCTGTCACTCATCACGAGGGAATGTGTCAACGTGCACGTAATCGGAATCCTCCAGAGGGCCGCGACCGCTTGCATACGGATGACCTCATTCCTCAGCTGCAGAAGCGATCAGTTTTGCATAATAAACGATGATGGGCCAGCTGACGCCCGCCAGGCCGGGCAGTGTGCAGGGAGGGTGGGTAGCAATGGCCGCTGACTCCAGCCGCAGGTCGCCCCAGCGCCCAGCGCCCAGGCTGGGTCTGCCCGTCACGGGGCTAAGGCAGAGCTCACCACGTCCACTAGTGGCAGCCGCTCTCGAGCTGCGGTTGGCACGGCCGGTCAGCACGTTCCTCCTGCGACACTCGCTCTGGCCGACGGCTGCACAGCCGGGCGAATGTGGAAATGACTTAGGCGGTTATTTCAATGCAGAATAGTAGCTTGTCTTGAAAAATATCTTACAGGGACACACACATACCCCCGCCCCAAACGGCCAGCCTGGCCAGCATATGACAGAGCCCCCGCCAGCCCGGACGCTGAGTGACAGGGCTGCGGAGTCACCACAGCAGAGAACGTTGCGGAGTGAAGTGCCCTCTGGCTGTCTGAGGGCAGCTGGCCCCCAGGACGCCCATGCGGTCCTGCCTCAGACAGAGCGTGGTCCCCCACACGTCCCTCACCCCCCAGTCACATGGCCGGCAAAGGGTCCCAGGACGCGCACTGTCTCCTGCATCATGGTACCTGCCCCCGCCACCTGGGTCAGGCTGGGAACAGACTCGCCAGCCAGCAGCGGCCACCAGAGGTTCGGGTACTGACCGTGGACCTCGGCTTGCCATTCTTCAACCGCTGGGGCACGTGGGCTGTCGTGGGGTCCCAGACCTTCGGGAGACGCCAACGTCATTGGTGGTTAAGAGCTGAAGCCACCCCACGCCCGCCGTCCACATGGCCTCTCCCGGGGACGGAGCAGGGTCTGGAAAGCTGAACCGTCTGTTCCCACTGTTCCCCCCCAGAGAAGCCCCATGTCCCCCACAGCCGTGTCTCCACGTCGCAGCCCCCCAAACGTGGCCACTCGCGGACACGAGGCCACTTGGGGCGGCAAAGCACGGAGCGGGCAGGCGGCACCGAGGCAGGCGCTGGCCCGTGACTCCCACGGTGGCCGGCGGCCGACGACGAGCCTCCCTGGCTGAGTGCCGGGCGACTCAGGGGAGGGGCGGCCACCCCGCCCCGGCACCTCCGGCCCCCGCACCCCGCTGCATCCCAGGGCACCGTGCCGGACGCTGCTGTGACTCAGTTTCTCCCGGTGAACACCAAGGAGCGGAAGTGCCGGGCACGTGGTGGACGGAGCTGCTCGTGCCTGTGGACCCCGGCCGTCTCCCGCGCCCCACGCCGGGCCCGGGCCGGGCGTCGCCGGTCTGTTCAGGGCTGGCCAGGTGAGCAGGTGCGACTGCGGGGTCTCTGGCCTCGCCCGGCTGCACCCTGAACCGCAGCTCAGGCTCTGACACCCACGGCGGCCACAGCCCAAACACAAACACCCGACAAAGTCAGCAGCAAAACGCCAGGACACGGCAGCCAGGGCGTCCAGCCAGGCCACGCGCAGGGCCTCGGGCGTGTGGGCTGCTGCTGCCTCCTCCCCCGGTGCCCTCTGCGCCCGGCAGCAGCCCTGGGTGACAGGAGGTGTGACTGCAAACAGCGTGCAGACAGCAGGGGACCGATGACCGCCAGACGCCCTGCGTGCCTGTCCCAGACCTGCCTTGGCCTGGGGTCCCTGCCTGCACCCCACACGGAGAGGCAGCCCGTTCCCCACGCGCACACTCGCACGCGCGTGCCCGGCCGGGCAGGCGACGGCAGGTGCGTCTATCGGTGCCTCCCGGGGGACTGGTCCGTTGCTCTCTGTGCCAGCAGGTCCCTGCTGGGCCCACGGGGTTGGCCCCAGTCCCCGCCCCTGGTGGCACTCACATCACTCCGTCTGTGAGGCACAATGCGCATGGGGACGGGTCTGTAGAGCTTGGAGGTGGCACTCGGCGGACACTTTGCCTCCTGCGAGTTACTCCAGGCAAGGCTGAGTGGACAGCGCCCGCCGGGGGCCCTGGAATCACGCCCACACGCGGTTCATTCCGGAACCCGCCCTGGGCAGGGCCGGGGCCTCTCTCAGCACAGCCTGGCGCTCCCAAGTCCTCCTGCCTGACGCCAGCAGGGAGGGACAGCACCCTGCTCGTCACTAGTGCCGGGCGAGGGAGGCAGCACAGCCCCCTCCCGACCAGCCGTGCAGCGCGTCTGCATGGGTGCTGGCAGCAGCCTCTCCCATGGACCCCGCAGCCCCCTGCCCAGCACTGAGGCCACCGAGCGATGGCACCCAAGCGACACAGAGCCTCGTGACCGTGACAGCCCCGGAAAGGAGCACAGAGCCCTCTGGCCAGAACCTACAGAGGAGGCTGCCAGTGGAGGCCGAGCACACCCCAGCACTGGGGCGGAGGGCGGAGGCCGGGCAGGGCCTAAGGCCTGGCAGCCAGAGACCAGGCCTCCCAGCTCCGCCCTGGGCCCAGAGGAAAAGTGCCTGAGACTCAGAAGATGCCGCGTCTGCCATTTACATTCCATTTTGTCTCCGATCACACACACG